CTGTCGCAGTTTTGGGGCCTGATCCTCTGCGACTTCACCGACTGTGGCAGTTAAGGAAAGCGAGCCTCTGCAACTTCTGCAGCTGTCACAGATAGGGAGCCTGAGCCCCTGCATCTTCTGCACCTGTCGCAGTTCGGTAGCCTAGAAGCTGCCACTGCCCAGCCCGGATGGAGCAAGTGTAGTTGGTAGGGGGGGGGGGTGGCTAGTAGTAGTAGTAGTAGTGGTAGTAGTATCACCTAGTAGTTTCCATTAATGCTGTTTTAATCGTTCAGGCAGGCCCCTTTGCTGCTTGCTTAGGGCTCTTGTAGGGCTTCCGGGATTGTTATTGTTTCGGGCTTGTGGTTGTAGGGTTTGTGTTTTTTTGTGAGCGATTGCCTGCTCTAAGGTTTGGACCGCTATAAGGCTATAAGGGTCAGCTCGCGGGTCTGTCACAGGCCTTGTTTTTGCCATGACCTCCGGAAGTCAAAACAAGGACTAAGGATAACTGGTGCTGGAGTTGCATGTGCCGGGAAGGTATGAAGATGGCGCTGTTTCAACTTTTTCAGAATTTTTACGCTGGGTGTGGGTGATTTTAGGAGCTCAGCACCTTAGCTGGCACTCGGAATTCCGAGGCTGTGGGGTTTCGGGTTTGGTGCAGGAGGTTGTCGGGATGTTGTGGATGCGGGGAATTCGTGATGTAGGCTCTGGTTCTGCTGCCGGTTTGGGAGAAGGGCAGAAGAGGTGCAATCACCTGCAACTACTCTTCAAGTCTTCCTTGCAGCTTCAGCAAGCTATTCGGCATCGGTCGGTCCCGTGAAAACGGAGTTTGAGGAATGCCATGGTCAAAGCCCCCTCGCGGACCAGTCAAAACAGACTCGAGCAAAGAGCAACGCAGCTGCCACAACTGCAGCAATGTCCGTAAAGAAAACAGGACCCTGTCCAACTTGAAGCTTCCAGAGAGCCAGCAGAAGCCAGCAAAGTCAGAGCCTTTCCTCCTTTCTGAGATCCGCGGGAGGCGGGAGAAGTTCATGGGCTGCTTCCGGAAGGCCCAGGGAGCTTCAGCTCGGG